TCTGTGTGAGTCTCAGCACTGCCCTGTATCTGGGTCTCTGTGGAGCGCATAGCAATCTGTTCCCTTCCACTCTCCCCCATGTTCAAATAGCTAATGTGTGTGTGTGTGTGTGTTTGTGTGTGTGTGTGTGTGTGTGTGTGTGTGTCTTTGTGAATGCTGCTTTATGGTTATTTCATGAGTCGGGAGAAAGTATAAAAGCCTTTGGATAACTGGCTTTTTTTAATTTCTTAAGCATTTTGAATAAATTTCAGAACAAAATAAAAATTTGAATGGGTGGGAAAAGCATTAAAGAAGCATCAAAGAGCTCACTGGGGCAGCCTGTGACTTCCTGGAGCTTGGTGTTCTTAACTGTCAGATTCTAAAAAGCAACTCTCTAGAAAATTGCTTAATGATTATATCTGTCAAGAAAAAGCCTCCGCAGCCATGAAGCACTGCACATAAAAATATCCTTTAATCCCAAACTTTAGAAAATTATGCCCTCTGATTTCAGCAAGGCTGAATCCCAGTGGTGCCCAGTTGCTCCCCAGCTTCTCGGGGCAAAACCAGGTAAAGAACAAGGGCACAGACGGAGAGACAGGCAAAGAATTAGTCTCACCCTGTGGGCCCTCTTTCCTGTCTTGGCCTGAAAAGCACTTTTAAATCTCTGCAGACCAAAGGCTGGTTAGTTCAATGAAAGATGTCAGACAGCTGAGCTGAGGGTGTGGACCCCAGACCAGAGCTCAAAATTCATCTTTGGTCTTCTGAAAGTTGGTAGGTAGTGCATGAGACAAAATCAAATCGGGCTGTCTGTTGCACAGCAACACTTACCACTTATCACTTACCACGTGATCGATGGGAAGGCCCGATAACGCAGTGTCTTACAATCCCTAGAACTGTGCTGGGCACACACTGGGGAGTTAAAGACCCCATCGATGACCAACCAGTACCTGTGTCAAGCTGACCCACCTATTTGCATATTCACTGACTCAACTCTATAACTAGTCCTCCAGATGCTTTTGTGGTCATGGAAGTGCTGATAACTGAGGGACCCAACTCAAGTGTTCCCAGCTGAGGCTGAATGAGGCCTCTGCTGCCTTGCTCCCTCTCTGTCGCTCAAAACATGTCTCCTACTCACGGTTTATTTAATGCCTCACTTTTTAGTCTTCGTGCTCCTTGGGGTTTATAGGAGTGTCTAAACTGAGAGACTAAGTGCTGTGAGGTGGTCTTACACTCAAGAAATATATATGATATTTGTGTCCAGAAGATGCTGAAAGAACAACCTCAGACGCGATTAGCATGCAAGTAACAAAGGGCGTTTGTTCTGCAGAAGTCCAGCGTGCTGGGATTACCACCTTCAAAACATGGCAGCAGCCCCAAGGGAAGTTGAAGCCCTTTTTTAAAGCCAGAAAGGGAAAATCCTACTGTGGCTGAGTAACCTCAACTGGAATTGGCTGGAGGCTACACTAGGGTCAGGGCTCAGGGGCTTCTCAGACCAGTAACTAAGCAACCTTATCTCCCTAGGCCAATTGTCCTGGCTGAGTGGATTTCTGTGGTTTTTCCTGTGACTGGAGTTGCTTTTTCTGAGGAACGGAAAACTCAGGCCTGTTCTGTCTCAGCAAGAAAATGAAGCATGTCACGAAGTTTATTTGGTCAGGCTTATTTAGCCCAGGCTCTCTCCATGAGTCCTTTGGAGAGAATATGTGGGTTATGCAGGCTTCACTCAGACCCCAACTATATAGCTTTGCCAGCTGTGGGTTCTGTTGTTCTACTCTGCCCTCGGTGAAAGCCATGATGCCCACCCACAGAGGAAAGGAGGTCTGTACTAAGTCCATGGATTCAAATGTGACTTCTGTCAGAAGTACCCTGGCAGACACTCACAGGAGTGTAATCTAGGAGTCCCTCAGTCCTGTCACGCTGTCTCATGAACTAGCATCACATGCACTGTCCACCGCAACTTTTTAGAACACAACTATGGTGCCAGTTTCATTGAGTCCTATTTAGTTCTAATGGGTATAATAAAGAACTCTAAAAGCTCACATCTCAATTCCAGGAAGTTTATTCATTCATGTTTTACGAAGCTTTTGCAGGTGACATAACAGTAGGTGAGTTAGGAACCCATCTCTTTCGTGTGCCAACACACAGGATTTTTGCTCCCACCCAGTGAATGGAAAGAGATCTGAAGTCTCGATTGGAACATGTGAGCCAACTCAGAAGCTGTGTAGGTTGCTCCTGCTTTATTTCTATTGGTTACATCTCAGTCACATGGCTCTACCTGACTGTAAGGGAAGGCTGGGGAATGAAGTTGAACTGTGGGCTGGGGTTGTCATAGACAGCCTTGCTGTAGTTTTTGTTAAAACTATTACCTGTATCATTTTTCTGTGTGTAAATAGTAAAACTCTTAGGTGAGCAATATTTCAATGCTTTAAGTTATTTTCCTAAATAATTATTTTCAGTTCTTTGCCAGGGAAGGCAAGCCCTATCCTCTTGTGCGCCCTAACATGTCAAGGCCATGCTGTCTTCTCTCATTAGGTTAATGTTCCTGCCAACTCTTCCTACTGTAAATATCTTACTGAAAATATTCTTTGCAATCGAATAAAAATTTATATAAAGAATACATCCAGTCTGTGGCCAGAGTGTCTGACCCTGAGCTGTTTGCAGGTGCTAGACAGTAACTAGAACAGAGAAGCTGCTTTGATTCTCCTTTCACTGTCTAGTGCCATCCAAGATGTGTCTGCTTTTACTATGGTCTTGTTGTGTTGCCATTAAGAAAAAAGGCAGTGACAATTGACTGTCAAGCCCATTGTTTAAGGAAAAATATCAGCTCACACACCAGGAAAACTATAAAAGGCATACTTGGATATGCATTCTGTGTTGTTTATGCTTCATTGCAATTCTGGAGGATTCTTTACCTTGCTGAAGAGAGGCAATTGCCACATGATAAACCATTCCATGCTTGAACATATAGGTATAGAATTGCCAGTAATGTCTTGGGGGTGGGGGAAGGTGAGTGTGTGTTGTGGCACATGTGTGAAGGTCAGAGAACAACTTGCGGGAATTGATCCCAGAAATTGAAATCAGACATGATGGCAGGCACTTTCACCCACTAAGGCATCTCACCAACCCTGAAAGCAGTCTTCTAGCGGTATTTGTGCACCAGTGCTCACATCAGTATTTTTCACAAGGCACCCGCACGAGGTAAGCAGCCCAGCTGTCCCTTGGGACATGAATGGCTGAACAGATGGACACTCAATGGAATGATTGGGAAAACCATTTTTAAGACATGCTGAAACATGAGCGAACATAGGAAAGGTTGTGCTAAGTGAAATGTGAGACCCAGAGAGATGACTGTTGCGTGGTTCACAGACTAGGAGCATACAGGCTGCCAGGGGCCTTGGGCTATGTGAGGGGACACTGCTAGTTGAGGGACACTGCTCGGAGAGCACAGGAGTCTTTCTGCCATGATGGAAGTGTTTGGGGGATGGAGGGTCGTCATGCTTGCACAGCATTGCTTGTTTGTTTCATGGCAGAGAATTACCAAATACTTAAAGTAGTTGGAATGGCAGTCCACAGTATCTTCTACAATAACTAAAAGTTACACTGGAAAGGCATAGGGCTTGAGCCTCTGAGCCAGGCCTGGGTGTGCCTGTTACTAAGTGTGTGTATGACTTGGGGCAAAAGCTTTATTTTTCAGAATATTCTTTTGCATACCTGTAGGAGCAGGTGAAGTCCTGCGTGAATTGTGTTGTTGACATGAGCATGGTCATTTCAAGGACCCCAATGCCTCAGACACCATGGCAATGACAAACTCTTTCTCTAGGCCACAAATGAATGGTTCAGCTAAAACCAGGGTATCCAGAAACTATCAACCACGGCTTTCTCTTCTTGGATGACTGCCACCTGAGACTGCTCCCTTCTAGAGACCTCCTGCCAAGATTAGCTAAACTGGACTCCTCCTCACTCAGCTGTAAACAACAAAACTGTCCCCTCCTTCAGTGATCTACAGTAAATGCCCTGGTTTGGCAGCTGCTGATGGTACATTCCCATCGGAGCACATGGCCCCCACGACGCCAGCTTTTCTGTACAGGTGTCTGTCCTTTCATCTCCACATCAGACCAAGCCCAAAGCCATGAGGGTTGCCCCACATCCACATAAAAACAAGGGCAGTCCTGCTGTTTGTGAGAGACTATCGTGGGAACTGTGACGAGCATGTCTCATCATCTCCACCGTATGAATGGTAAAGAGAAATGCCAGGTTGCAGTGTTGAAGTGTTGTGTGGCATGGTTGTTTTTGCCTGTGTCTTAGTGAGGATGTGCGCACACACACACACACACACACACACACACACACACACACACACACAGCAGGGGATTTCAGAGAAATGTATCTGGAGACCAGACATCTTATAATATTAACCATTAGAACATTGCCCGAAGCTCTGTGTGTCACAAACACCTGGTAGAAAATCTATACACAGGAGACTGCACTGAGGCAGCTGTGCAAACATGACAATAAGGGGACGAGCAGGGAAAGGGATGCTGACATATTAGAAAAAGGCAGGAAGATGTGAACACGGCAGTGAGCCTTGTTAAGGCTGGCATCCTGTGTGAGGCTGAATGTACGGCATTAAGGAAAAGTCAAGTGTCATTTTGTTTGTGAAGATGGTGTCTATGCAGAACACATTGAAAACAATAAAATTGGAGGTTCATTGGTAATGATGGAGTCGGTTATCAGAAAATTACTTTAGAAGGAGGTTGTGTGTTTAAATATTCACTTTCTGTGGAGAGTGGAGAGTAAATTCCACTAGTCTTATCACCAAATTAGATCGATCTACTTCTCTCAATGCCTGCACATAGCTCAGGCTCACCCCCCCCCATAAGTGCCCAGGCTGACAGAACAATCAGATGAACTAGGGAAGTAGGGAAAGAATGGAGCTATCTATAAACACACATGTCAGTAAGACCTGCATTAGCTGTGTACGAAAGACATCCATGTTAAAAAACAATCCCTTTTCTTTCTTGCAGACCAGAAACTACTCTCTTGGGATCATTCGTGAGCAAGAGACGCCCACACTGTGACATATGCCGGTGCCACCACCACCACCACCGCCACCTCCTCTGCCTCCACCTCCTCCACCTCTGGGGGCTCCTCCCCCTCCACCCCCACCTCCACCAGGGCCCCCGGTAAGGCCTGTTTGTTTTCTCTCTCTGTTTTACTGTGTAGCACAGGCCTTTGTGCACAGGCCTTTGAATGATCTTGAGCAGAAGGAGTTTGAGGTTTGGGTGCAGCTGCGGCAGGCGCCCATGTGACAGGCGGCACCTTTGGATGTTGGCTCTGGCCGCTTTGGGGTTCGATTCCTAACCAGTCTGGATTAAATGTTTCTCTCCCCTACTCCTTTGCACATCTCATTTACACCATACTTCACTCTCCGCATTTCCCCTTAAATTCCCACCACAAGGTACAGGCATTTCCAGGCTGCCTTGGTGACTTTCCATCTCTCTAGACCCTCTGGTGAGAGGCTCGTACTGAAGTCAGGCCCTTGAGACACTGAGAAGTCAAGTTGCATGTGGGGTGTCATGCAGAAGTTGATGATGGTTCCCTGGCTTCATTGCCCCCATTCTATGTCCAGCAAGTTACATGTTGGGTGAAAAGCCACAGGGTAATGGGACTCACAGACAGAAGTTTCCAGTGTCTGCAGCCATGAATCTGGTCTGCTTCTGTAGAAGCCACATTCCCTTAGTTTAATCACTTGGTTTGTGTTAGAAGAAGGCCATGGACGGTGGCCGTTCTGCTCTGGAACAGAGATTCAGCCTCAGCACCAGTAACACTGGGACTAACTAATGGGGGTAGGGAGTGGCTGAGCTGTACATTTTTGGGATATTTAACAATATCCTCAGTTCCCTACCTATGTAATGCCAGTAACACCTCTCAAGTGTGGCAATAAAATTGTCCTAAGATTCAGCCTGGTGGAGGAAAAGTATATAGACCTACTAGGAATAAGTATTGAAGTTTCATTGCTCAACTTGACCCCACATGCTCGAATTCAAGGTCATTACCACAAGGTGTTGAACAGTTTGTAAATAAAGAAAACAAACTGTAAACTATTCATAGATCCTAGATGTACTGTCCTCTCCGCTAGGATGACCTTATATCACGAGCCACTGCTGTCACACAGGGAGAAACACACTCATAATCTGCCTTCACTTGCACACATCTAGAATATGGGCAGTGCTACAGAGAGCTTGGCAAGCTAGAGCCTGTGGCCCACACGCTTGCAACCAAGGTGCCTTCCAGCCAAATGCCTGGAGTAAAGAATTGAAAAAAGAGCCCATTGGTGGTGGCCCACACCTGTAATCCCAGCACTTGGGAGGTAGAGGTAGGCAGATCTCTGTGAGTTTGAGGCCAGCCTGGTCTACAGAGTGAGTTCCAGGACAGTCAGGGCTACACAGTAAAACCTTGTCTCAAAAAAAAAAAAAAAAAAAAAAAACAGAACAAAACAAAAATCTGAAGAAAATTTGAAAAAACAATTGTGATACTTGAAAATGAGATACTCCAATTTTAACCCATAAAGTTCACTGGAGCACAAGAACACTCATTCATTTGCTCATCATCAGTCGCTGTGTTTCTGCTATAGAGCTCACATATCAACCAAGAAACATATTATTTTACCAAAAAAGAACTCCCTTCTCATTTGTGGACCTGTGTTTTAATAATTAATTTAATTCTTATTACTACATGTTTAGATTGTGCAGTAAGTATTTTGTGGAAATCATTTCTCTTTTTCTATCGACTATCTTTGCTGCACAGTCCCTGGAACATTACCATCTGATCCTTTCCAGGGATGAGTCGCCAATACCTGGCCCATAGCCAGCTGGCCTTTGTTGAGCCTCCCCTGTATCACCAGCCTCCAGTGGTTTCAGCACATGTATCTTGAACTCCTCTCAGGGACTTCCCATGGCCTTTTAATGGGGCCCACCCGAGCTTTCAGAATCTGGGGCCTGCCTACCTCTCTAGTACCCCCTGAGCCTCTCTGCTAGGGTACTCCCAACCATGGCTTTTATATAGCTGCTCCTTCTGTCTGGAAGGAACTTTCTAGTAAAATCAAAGTTGAGGTCCAGTCCACCAACCCCACTGGCTTTATTACTTATTTTTAAAGCCCTCCTTCAGAGCAGTAATTGTTTCTCACTGTCTTTTTATTTTATTAGTGTGTGGTTGATTAAAATGGAATGAGATGAAGCTTCATTATATAAATGCCAGGTTTATTAGGAGCAGCACAGGATGGTGGTAGGGGGAAGGAGAGAGAGGGGAGAAGCACATGAAGAGAGAAGGAGGGGAAAAGGGAGGAGAGACACAGAAAGAGAGAGAGAGATCAGGAGGAAGGGGAAGGGAGAGAGAGGAAAGGGCATTACAAAAGAGGCTGGAGGAACCAAAATGTCTGGATTACAGAGTAAAGGCCTCTGGGAGAGGGCAAGCCCCGCCCCTAAGTAAAGGGCAGGGAAGGCCAGTCAACCGCTGCAGCAAGTAGGGAACATAACATCGTCTGCACTTAATCTTATATTTTTGGTGTCTGGCTTGAAACAGGCATTTAGCTTGTGAAGGAAGGAAAGGAAGAGAGGGATGGATGGAAGGAGGGAGAAGAGACGGAAGGAGAAAAGATAGGAAGGAAGGAAGAAAGGAAGGAAGGAAGGAAGGAAGAAAGGGGAAGAATGAAGGAATGAGAAAGGAAGTTAATGGCTGAGTAAATAGGGTTGAGAAGCAGGGCTAAAGGTTTTCATAACTAGTGGTCAGAACTCTGAGTGCTGGGAGCCAAAGCTATCTACTGAAGCCAAAGTCAAACAGTGAGCCAAGGCTATCTACGGAAGCCAAAGTCAAAGCTATCTAGTGGAGACAAAGGTAGTTACTGAAGCCAAAGCCAAGTAGAGAGCAAAGGTCATTTAGTGGAGACCTAAAGCTATTTAGTGAAAGAGTTATCTAGGACCCGAAATCATGGGTGATAGATTGTGAGGACATCTGTCTGTTAGTTTTAGAGCATCCGTGAGAAAACATCCTTACGGCATCTTGCAGGTGCAATATTTAACCCATGAAAGCACTCTTCCTGTCTCCTGCAGCAGCTAATTACCTTCCCCCTTTCCTGCCTTCTCCCTATATAAGTTTGGTAAAAATTTTTAATAAATGGAAGCCTTGATCAGACAAACAGACTTGGCTTTCATTCCTGCGTCTCTTGTCCCTCCCCCCCCCCCCCATTCCTTCCAATCTCTCCACCTTAGGAACCCTGGTGAAGCCCCGCAGGCCGGGGCATCTGAGCACTTGTTCAAGTCCAATAAACAAAATCCAGAGCTGCAGGGATCATGGGGAATGAGCGACTAGGCTCTGAATACAACACAGGAAATGGGAATGTGTAGCCAAGAACGTGAAAGGATGGGTATTGGACGAAGAATTAATAAGAGGAAATACAGTGGTGGCAGGTGCATGGGTGGGGTGGGGTGGGGGTGCTCAAGAAGACTCTGGATAAATCTATCTTCCACTGTTTATCCCTTTGTTGTAGTAACCTGGAACCTTATGCTTGCTTGGCAAGCACTTTACCAATTAGCCACATCTCCAGCCAACCAAACATGGCCTGCCATGGTAGAGTTTGTGATCCTGGTCAGAACCAGAACAATCAGGGTTCTTTTTGTTTGTCAAAATAGATTCTCTGTGAAGCTCTGGCTGTCCTGGAACTAGCTCTGTAGACCAGGCTGGCCTTGAACTCAGAGATCTGCCTGCTTCTGCCTTCCAACCCAGCTGGGTTCTTGATAAGCATATTTAACAAAGTTCTTTTTCAAAACTGGATTATTTTATAAGGAAGGTGGTTCTAGAAGTTCCTGATGCCTGACCAAAGTTTGACTGGTTGCAAAGATTTCTCCCTCTCACCAACAGCTACCATTCTCCACCCCAGCTCCAGACATGCTCAGCTCTGACTTGGCTGAAGGATGGAGGGAGCTGCAGGGGCTTGGCAGAAGCTTCTGCTCAGCTAGGCGTCTCTGCCCTATTGTCTGCCTCCTTTTTCTGAAACCATGCCCTCCCCTCTATCTTTTTGACTCTACTCCTTTTTCTCCCCCCCCCCTTAAAATCCAAAAGCTATGTAAATCGCCTGTGGGGCATGGTGGCTCACTTATAACTAAATTATTATTGTTGCTTTGTTTATAGGATATTTTTAAAATACCTGTTTGTTTGTTTGTTTAACCCACATTGGATTTGGGTTTGAGCAGCAGAATTGTACTGAACTTTCGTACCTTGTGTCCAAGTATATTAGATGTAGTGAGAGAGTAAACTCCATAAGGGTGCGTGAATTTCATCTGCCTGCCATGGTGCCCCCGCAGAGCAAAATATAGGCATCACTGACAAGCTGGTAACATTCATGGTTGTAGCATGTGTGCTTAGTCATCAAATAGATCTAGGGGTTTTCGAGATGTCAGTTTTATTGTTGCCATTCAAAATAAAACATCCTCAGAAGCAGTCAGTTGATCCAGAGCTGGCTGTACCCTGTTATTTAAACATCAAGAAGGAACTGGCTTGGTTGTCATTGCTTCAGAAGAAGCCACAGTGCCAAGCATTTCCCCTTCTTGTTCTGAAGACTGTGTTTATTAACACCTGATGAAAGAAAATTACAGTGGGCCCTCGCCCTTCTGTTCCCCCCTTGTAGTCTGTCAAGTCATTTCCTTTGCAATCATTTTTCTCCTGTGCCCTAAGGATTGCATGATTCATGGGCCAAGTAATCATCATTGTCAGCACGGACCATATCAGCTGTGGCTGACATGTGGCCTGCAAGGGCTTCTGATAAGAAAAACAGTGTAGAAAGTGTGATGTTCTCTCAAGTCCCAGGAGATACCCTGGAGTCTTACACTTGCTGTGACTGGGGAAGAAGTGGGGTGGGGAGAACCGAGTGAAAGGAAGCTTGGTAGAACTGCATGCTATATATTCTCTGGAAAGGGTGATTTGCATGTTTACTAGTGCGCATGCAATAATGAAAGGCTTACAGAGTCTTAAATAATGCCACTCATGTGTGCTCTCTTGACATGCTAGTGCTTTGATTGGTACTGCTGACGGGGACCCCCGCGTCCCAATGATCCTGAGGGGGGGGTTGCAGTGCATTCTATGAGGATTGAATTCAGCTGACATTTTCTCTTGCTTATCCATCTACAAA